AAAAAAAAAAAAGAAAGAAAGAAAGAAAGAAAGAAAGAAAGAAAGAAAGCAAACTGAGCAAGCCAGTAAGCAGTGTTCCCCCATGGCCTCTGCTTCAGCTCCTGCCTCCAGGTTCCTGTACCTTGAGTTCCTACCCTGGCTTCCCTTTATGATGGACTACAACTGTACATTACAGGGTGTGCCATGGATATCTTAAATTTATTAATTTGTTGAGACAGGGTCTCACTATGTAGCCTTGGCTGGCCTGAAACTCATAAAGACCCTCCTGCCTCAGCCTTTCAAGTGCTGGAATTAAAAACATGTGCCATCAGCTGGGCGGGGATGGCGCACGCCTTTGGTGCAAACTCTCAGGAGGCGGAGCCAGGTGGATCTCTGTGAGTTCAAGGCCAGCCTGGGCTACAGAGTGAGTTCCAGGAAAGTTGCAAAGCTACACAGAGAAACCCTGTCTCAAAAAACAACAATAAAAAAAAGAAAGAAAGAAAGAAAGAAGGCACAGAATGACAGAGGAAGACCCCTGACATACTTCTCTGGCCTCTGAATGTACATGCATGGATTGGACATGCACACCTTTATATATGAATATATATACAACACACAAAACATACACACACACACACACACACACACACACACACACACACACACAAAAGGGGGGATGTGGAAATACAAGTCACAGAATGGAAGATAATTGCAAAACATACTTCTGATTAGAGGTCAGTGTCAAGGATATGTAAAGACCTTCTATAATTCAAAGACCCCAGTTCAGAAGTGGACAAGGGACCTGAGTCAACAGTTCTCTTAAAAAAGATATACAACTGAGGCTGGAGAGATGGTTCCATAGTGAAGAGTATTGACTGCTCTTCCAGAGGCTCCTGGTTCAATTCCCAGCAATCAAATGGTCACTCACAACAACTGTCTATAACTCTAGTTCCAAGGGATATGATATCCTCTTCTGACCTCCACAGGCACCATGCATGCATATGATACACAGATATGCATACTGGCGAAACATCCATACACATAAAATAAATAAATCTGTAAAAGATATATAATTGGCCAATGAGCATAAGGCAAGACATCTGATATCAGAAGTCATTATGGAAACATAAGTGAAAACCATAATAAGGTGGGGTGAGTAGCAAACACCTGTGAGCCCAGTCACTCAGGAGATTGGTAGGAGGTCATTTGAGCCCAGGAGTTCAACATAAGCTTGGGCACCATAGCTTACTGAACCTGGGAGCTGGCTGTTTGGCTAGGCTGGCCAGCAAGCCCCCAGGATCTACCTGTCTCTGCTCCACAGCTTTGGGGTTATAGACAGGTAAAGCTGTGTCCCCCTGTTTTACGTGAATGCTTGGGATTCAAACTTAGGTCTCCATGCTTGCACAGCAATCACTTTGACCCACAGAATCATCTCCCCAGGTCCCCGTTTTTACTCTCCAGTCAACCCACATACATCTGGGGTTGTTATTCTCCCCTGACCGTGGAAAGTCACACCTTCTACTTTTTGAGGATAGGGCATAGGCTGGATTTCTTTGTCCCTCTTAAGTATGCAAAGACTCAAGTCCTGGAAGAAGTGAGGAAGGAGAAAGCAGAACCGAAGTGACCAGCATTAACTATGAGGAAACAGAACGAGGCCTGCGTGGAGTCCAGGACTCAAGAAAGCAAGGCTTATTAACCTACATGCCAACGTGAGTGAACCTTGGAAGAACTGTGTTAAGTGAAAAGAGCAGTCACAGACCATCCATCCATCAATCGTTGGGTTTATGTGAAATTGCTGGGATAGGCAAATATATTGAGTCAAAAACCAGATCAGCATCTGGTGGGGCGAGGAAGACAGGTTAGGAATAGTCATAAATCTTAATGGTATCGGTTTGGGGGCATATGATAGATGATATTCTAAAATTGATTGGAGGTTAATTATATGTGAAAGAATTGTACTTCAAAAAAGCTGTTATTTAGAAAGAAAGGGAGGTGATGGCCCCATAGATGCCTCCTCCCCTGCCTTGGCCATCTTCACTTGGAAAAGCGTGGCCTCGCCTGGAGGTGTTTGCAGATCCCAGGTTTCATCGTCAGCCCATAGGTGGGTGTCAGGTCCACCTTCGTGCCTGGTGGCACACTGAACTCCAGCTGCTGCAGCATGATGGCTAAGAAGAGGAAGACTTCCCACTTGGCCGGGATCTCCCCAATGCACCGGCGCTTTCCCAAGCCAAAGAGCATCACCTTTTCACTCAGTGTCTTGTTGAGGGCTGTGTTGTTATCAGTAAGAAACCGCTCTGGACGGAACACAAAGGGGTCTCCCCACTGCTTCCTGCAAGAGGAACAGATAGGACCTGAGCTGGGTGGGTTCTGGGAGGAAAGGGTAGCTATGTTCTCCCAGCTTCTGTGAACAGTGTTGGAAAAGATTGACGGTCACAAAAGCGTGTGGGGAAGGCACCAGACTTGGCCCGTATCTCTTTGTTATGGTTCTTTTGTATTTGTTTGCTTTGAGACTGGGTCTCACGTGTCTAAAGTTGGCCTTGAACTTCATATGTAACCCCAGGGTCGCCTTGTTTGAAATGCTGACCCTTCTGCCTCTACCTCCCAAGTGCTGGGATTACAGGCATGCGCTACCACATCTGATGCTTGGGATCCAACCCAGGGCCTTGTGTATGGTAGGCCAGCACTCTACCAACAGAACTGACCTCCAGCCATGTTACTGTTTCTTTAAAATAAAATTCTCTCTAAAATGATCAAGATAGTGGATTTTGATTATTTTTAGTTTTTTTAAATTACATTTTTATTTGTTTGCTTGTGTGTGCATGTAGAGGTCAGAGGACAACTTGCAGGAGTCAGTTTTCCTCTTCTACCATGCGGGGCCTGGGGATTGAACTTGGGGTGTTAGTTGTGGCAGCACCTGCCTTTACCTGCTGAACCATTCCCATGGTCCAAGATAGTGTTTTGTTTTGCTTTTTTTTTTTTTTTCCCCCGAGACAGGGTCTCTTTGTGTATTCCTGGTTGTCCTGGAACTCTCTATGTAGCCCAGGCTGGCCTCGAACTCACAGAGATCTGCCTGTCTCTGCCTCCTGAATGCTGGGATTAAAGGAGTGCGCCACCACTGCACAGTGGATGATAGTGGTTTTTAATATTCTTTTGTTTTAGTTTCTTTATTTTTATTTTTATTTTTGATGTGATTCTGGGAATTGAACTGAGGGCCTTCCACATTGCATATATGACCAGTGAGCTATAGTTCCCATCCTAATTGGATATTTCAAGGAAATAATGCTTTATCAATAGGAATCTGAAAGAAGAAAACAGGCTTCTTTCTCTCCTAATTCCAGGGGCAAGGGAGATCACCAGCTTGCTCGGCTTATGCTTATTTTCCTGGACTAAAAGTTGACAATACAAATATGGATGGCATTCTAATGTTCAATATGTCCTGGTTTGGATGGATTGCATCCTACAAATTAGAGTGGAGTTTCCCAAGGAGATCATTAGACCATTCCCATAAGACATTTGAGGTAGCCTCATTATCTATCCAACTGAAACCTTGGGGCATGGGGAAACTTCCACTGGCCTTGAACTCACTGCAATCCTCCTGCCTCAACCTCCTGAGTAGGCTGGATTACAGGCATTTGCTACCCACACCAGATACCTAGTCCATTCTTCTGTACACTGAAGTTTGAGAAACAGGGTGTAAACGTTATCACTTGGAACAGGCCATCTAGCAATGAGGCAGTGCTCCTTATGTAAGCAGGTCCTGAAGGACAGACAACCTTCCCTAAAGGGACAGACAACCTTCCTGATCACTGAGGATTCACCATTTCCGTCAGGACTACTACTCACTCGTCATGGTTGACCTGCCACTGGTTTATGAAGATACAGCGCTCCTTGGGAATGTGGAAGCCATTCAGTGAGGTGTCCCTCGTTGTGCTGAGGAGAGAAGAGACTCTCAGGACTTGGAGAAACTGTGATGTGGCTTCTTCCTCCCTCCACTCATTCCCAGTGTCTGACTACCACAGTCTCTGAGCCCCACACTGGGCGGTCACATGAAGAGCAGGGAACATGGGGCAATCATCCTTCCTTTGGCTGGGATCCTGCTCTTCAACTTCAACACTTGTTTACTAGACTCTCCTTGTGCTCAGATGTGCACTGGGGCAGTCCCTGAAGCCAAGAAGTCAGTGGTTGGGACATGCCCTGGGGGATCTGCAGGTTCGTGCCAGGAATAACTAGGCTAAGGTGTGAGCAGAGGTAAATGTTCACTCTCACAATCCAGGAACTTGGGCTGTAAGTCTTACAAATCCTTGGGGGATGAAGCTCTCCTTGGCGGATGAGCCAAAAGAGGCTTCTAGATGGAAGGGGATGCATTTGTCAGGATCGACTTTGGGCAAGGGTAGAATTTGGGAGCGAGAGAAAGAGATGGATAGAAGTTTTTCTAAGCAGAAGGTCCCGCTTAAGCCAAGTTGGCCGGTGGCTGGATTACCCTTGTGAGGGACCGTGAGGAGGGCCTGGCTGGAGCAGAAGATATCCATAGGGAGCTAACGCAAGTGGAGGTGAGTGACTGCTGAGGGCATAAGCGACTGGACTGGGTGGGGGCAGACCAGAGACTGACGGGGGTCAGAGGCTTGAGGTTACCACGGAATGAGATGCAGCCTGAGCTGGGGGCGGGGCTGAGGAGCTGGGTGAAGAAACAGTATGAAAACTTAGGGGGCAGAGAACAGGGGCCTTACCTGTGGGGGATGGTGAAGGGGACAAAGGATGTGTATCGGTAGATCTCCAGGATGAAGGCCTCGATGTAAGGCAGCTGAAGTCTGTCAGAAAGCCGTGGTTGCCGGTCCCTCCCAATCACTGTGTCTGCAGAGCACAGGCAGAACTCATGGGACGTTCTGTCTGCTCCGAGCATGTGTCCCCTTATACTAGTGCCTCTCTATGTTGGACTATGCTTACTCATGTTTCTGAAACCCCACCAGCCCCGCCCCCCGACACACACCTTATCTGGACCAGTGGGGGAGGCCATGTTCCTAGGACTTAACACACACTAGACACATAAACACGTATTTGTAGATCAACAAGTGACCTGGAGCCTCCAGGCTTCCCTGACCGGAGGGTTGGGAGCAACACATACCCAGCTCCTTGTGGATCTTCCTCTGCACATTGGGATGTGTCACAAGGAGCAAAAGGCTCCAGGAGATGGCTGTTGTGACTGTGTCAAATCCTGGGCAGCAGGGAGTAGAGTGAAGGAGAAAAGGAAACATGGGGGAGGAGAACATTTTTAACAAGCATCGCTGTAAACGGAGCAGGAGCAAGGACTACCCCTCTCTGGCTCCCACCCCCGTGTGTCCTGAGGCAAGGGCTGAGTCCTCAACAGAAACCTGAGAGCCAAACATGGTGGCTTATTCCTAGAGTCCCAACACTAGGGAGTCCGAGGCAGGAGAGCTGCCACACGTTCGAGGCCAGCCTAGGCTACAGAGGTGAGCGCTTGCCTCAAACAAAACAAGTCCAAAGCAACCAAATCGAAAACCGAGACAAATCAAACAAGAACCTAATGGACGCTGGCTTCATAATCAGCAGCTGGAATTATAAGCCTGGACTCCAGGTTGTAGAGTCCTTTTACTTCCCAGGTGGGGAAACCCAGGCCCCAAAAGGAGGGGGACTTGGTTGAGTTGGTGGCACAGCATGAGGTCACACCTTGATGCTAGGGCAGGTGTCTGTCCTGTGTCACCTGCCATGTGGTTGGTGAGTTAGTTGATAGGTTGGGTAAAGAGCAGCTGACGGATGGAGGGGCAGGGATGATTGGAGGGGCAGGGATGATTGGAGGGGCAGGGGTGTGGCTCCTACCTGCTCCAAAGAGGTCATTGACAATGTTGACAATCTTCTCGTGAGGGATGAGGCCACCATTGTCTTTGGAGTTCTCACTGTGCTTGAATAGGGCACCCGTGATGTCCTGGATACTGTTCTAAGAGGACATAAGTTTAGGGGAAGTTTGGCATTTTGAGGACCAGATGCCAGACCATGCCACATCCCATTTGATATGTCCCCAGGGCCTGGGAACGGCATTGGTCTCCAAGCACAGGGCTGGGACTCGGATTTTTGAACTGGCATCATCCCTAAATAGAGCCTAGTCATTTCATGTGCCACCGACCCTTCTTTCCCCTAATCCCAGGGGTCGGGTTTCAGAGGAGGAAAAAGTAGGTGTGAACACAAGGAAGAAAAGCGACATGGAGCTGGAGCTTAGCCTCTGTGGAGGGTCATGTTCCTGCAGAACAATCGCCTTTAAATTAATGATACCCCATATTGCAAAGCCCTGCCAAGGTTCCATTCACATGCCTTTGTTTTCTGGGTTTGGAGAAGCCCCCAGAGGGGAGCTGTAACGTACACGGGGTGGCTGTAGGTCACACAGCTGCTCTGAGTGGCCCGGAGCCTTCCTACGCCTTGGCAGCACATGGCAGTCTGAGTACCTTGGAGTAGGTTTTGAGGGGATGTTCTCTGGGTCTGTGGTGGTGATGGGGGGGGGGGTCTACAACCTGCCTCCGAGCCTCACCTTGTTGAAGTCTTGATAGTGCTCCTGGACTGTTTTCTGTAGAAACAGCACAAATTTATCATTGAAGTTCTTAAACCTCTTGAGGGCTGGGTTGGGCAGGTAGCGCAGGATGGGGAAGAAGTCCACAGCATTCCCTGAGGAGACATTCTCCACAAAGTCGTTGCTGCTTTTCACAATGCTCAACATCTCCTCGCTCTTCCGGGGGAAGTTCTTTCCAAAGCACATGGCTCCAATGACGTTTACCACGGATTCCACCACCAGATTGACGGGTTCGAAGTGGCCAACCTCCGCCATCTGCTTCTGGAACTTGCTGACTAGATGGTTAGCCTCCTTGCTGACATGCTCCTCTAAGTAGCAAGAAGATGTGGAGGTCGGGTCTGAGGCTATGGAGAAACTCTTCAGGGCATCCTGGGCCAGGCGCCGACGGGCAGCCCACACCGGTCCAGAGTCTGGGTTGAAAGTCATGCTCTTGCCATTAGTGATAAGTGTGAAACTGTAGAGGTCTGGCCGGCCCTTGAAGTCATCTCCCTTCCGTATCAGGGCCTGCCGGATGGTGTCCAGGCCACTCAGCACCACCACAGGCGTGGAGCCAATGCGGATCTGCAGCACATCCCCATACTTCTTGCTCAGCTTTGTCAGTGACAGGTGTGGGTTCTTCCCCAGGGTCAGCATATGCCCAATGAAGGGCCATCCCCAGGGTCCAGGTGGACTCTTCAGGCCTTTGGGGACCCGGGGTCTTAAAGTTCTGACCACCCAAAATACTACACAGAAGATGGCCGTGGCCAGTAGTAGCTCTGTGGCCAAGGAGAAGGACTGGAACAATGCCATCTGGACCAGCTGCAAGGGAAATGGAAGGATGGGGTGGTCAGGGATGGATTCCGAGCCTCCATTTTTTTCTTTTACTCACTCATTCAGTAGGTATACATTCCTTGCTGAGCTTTCAGCCGCACACCAGGGAAGTGAAGATATCCCTGTCATCTATCCTGCTCCCTCAGGAATTTGCCCTTACCCCATCACAGAATTCAAGGACTGGAAAAGAGCCTTGTGTTTACCAGCTTTAGTGTCTGGATTTCTGCCCCAGGCTCTGAGACTGGAGTGGATGCGAATGGCCACTCGGAAACAGTGAGGCTAAAGACACTTCCTCCACAGCCCCAGTCACAGAGTGTTTGCTGGGCTTTCTGCCAAAGGGTCCAACATAGTGTGGGTTCCCAGTCGGTACCCTCTACACACCCAGGGAACAGAAGATGCCCCCTTGCCCAAGCAACAGAATGTCAGTGTCCCTGGGATGATACCAATGGCCTGGGATATTCCTCCTCCTCAATGACACTCTATCAATACCAAGCAGGGGTATCTCTTCCAAAAATTAGTCTTCATTCACCTCTATGCTTGGAGGGTGAAGTAGACCAAAACCAGGTCCAGGGCTACCTAATGCCAGATGGGTATTTTCTCCCTATCTCTTCACTCCAGGCAACTGTCCTTAGAGACAGCCTGGTTGAAACTACTAAATTAAAAATAGGGGGCCAGGAAGATCGCTCAGTGGTTCAAGGCATTGCTGCCAAGCATGACAAACCAAGTTTGATCCCTGGAATCCACATGGTGGAGGGAGAGAACTGACAGCTGACTCCAGAAAATTGCCTCTGAGCTGTGGCATTCAGACGGACACACAGACAGACAGACAGACAGACACACAGACACACAGACACACACAGACACAGACACAGACACACACACACACACACACACGTTTAAAAGAGAAACTAAAGTCCAGGGCTGAGAAACAAGGAGCAAAACCTCAGACCTCCTTCAGTTCCCGCAGGGTCCCCTAATAGCACTTAGGATGTAGAAGCAGATGCCATGATCCGAAAAGACACACAGACATACCTGAAGGGCAGGGCCTGGCGATCACAGAGCTGTAGGAGTCAGTCCAGGACTTCTGGGTTCAGACGAGGGGCCTTTTATACCACCACCCTCTCTGGACTGGCCCAACTGTCCGGGTCACTTGATATCAAAGCTGGAACTGAGAAAAGTTGGAAGGATCAATTTTTGGCTCTGAGCCATGATCCCTCAGCTGCACCTTCTCCTGGGGGTTCAGGAATAGCGCTTTGGGTCAGAAGAGGCTCTGGGTCCCTGGAGATAAATATCCATGGCATTTTACGGGCCAGGGTAGAGAAAACAACACTTTCAAAGACAAGGCAGGCTCCGGGATGTCAAGATGAAGCGTGCGGACAGGTATAGCCTCTTTTGCCTTGGTATCCACAAGAAAGGGACACGTCCAGCCCCCAATCCAGGCCAAGCAGGAGCAGCACAGGCTCCCTGGGATGGCAGATAGGGAGTTGCATTATACTAGTGACTTTTCTCCATTTGACAAACTGCCCATCAACAGTGAGCGAAGGAAGGCGGGTTATTTTGGTTCACAATTTTGTAGTCTAGTCCATGGTGGCAGGGACATGACAGCAGCTGAAACGGGAAGCAGCGGGTCCCGTGGCACCTGAAGTTAGAATGCAGAGAGAGATGAATGCTGGTGCTAGACCCCCCCCCCCCCATACACACACATACACAATAGATAAAAATTGTAAAACTTTAAAACATATAAACTGGGCACTGATGGTAAACACCTTTAATTCCAGTATTCAGGATGCAGAGGCAGGCAGATCTCTGAGTTTGAGGCCAGCCTGGTCTACAGAGCAAGTTCCAGGACAGCCAAGGCTACACAGAGAAACCCTGTCTCCAGAAAAAAAATTAATATTATTATTTTTATGCATACATATACACATTCTGTGCTGTCAACGTGGCTCAGTGGGTTAAGGTGCTTGCTGAAAAGCCCACAGGACTTGAATCCCTGTGGGAGCCCATGGGGGCTATCTAGTGAGACCTTACTCAGGGTCAGGGAATCTGGGTGTGCTTTACCCAGCAGGGCTGTGTAAAGAAATTATTTGACCACGGGTGTGTTTACCAGGTGTTTGGAAGGGTTTACACTTGGCTGTACAGTGTGCTTTGATCTTGCAAGGGGGAGGTCTTTTGCCTCTCCTCTTGGCATATTATAAAAGGCCCTTTCCAATAAAGGATGAGGCTGTTGGGTATTGACCCAGGCCCTCCTGAACCTATCCTGTGTTTCTGTCTGTCTTATTGTTGGCTAGGTCTCTCTTTTTATCTGATATTTCCCCATTCCTCTCTCCTCCACCTAATAACCCTTCAAAAGGTGGGAGCTGGACTCCCAGAGATCCCCAGGACTGATATGGTGGAAGGAGAGAATAGATTTAGATCCTTCAAGTTGTCCTCTGATTTCCATGTGAGCACCAAGGCATACTGACACACAGACACACACAGAGACACACACACACACACACACACACACACACACACACACACTCACACATTAAGCTTCAGGATCAGTTTGTGCAAGTGTCAAGAATGTGTTATGGAATGTTTGTATAATGTGTGACAATGTATTGCTGTGATTGCTGTAATAAGTTGAACAGCCAATAGCTAGGCAAGAGAATATAGGCGGGACCTCCAAGCAGAGAGAGAACTCTGGGGAGAAGAAAGGCGGAGTTGCCAGCCAGACAAGGAGGAAGCAGGATGGGCAGTGTGGAGATGAGGTAATGAGTCATATGGAAGAATATAGATTTTAAAAATATGGGTTAATTGAAGTTATAAGTTAGGAACAAGCCTACGCTAAGGCCGAGCTTTCATAATTAATAATAAGTCTCCGTGTCATTGTTTATGGGCTGGCAGTCCTGACGAGAAAGTACTACTACAAGAACGGGGACTCTGACAGAGTCCCAGAGCCAATTTGAAGACATCCAGGAAGGAGGGAACACTGTTCCTGTCTGTGTTTTCACTGGGCTCAGCTCACTCAATGAAAAGGGTCAACCTGGAAATCTGGCTAAGTTTTGTACAAATTTGTTTTCTTCTTTCTCATTAACTGAATTTTATTTAGATACCTCCTCCCCACCCCTTTTTTATGAGACAGGATTGGTTTATGTAGCCTTGGCTGTCCTGGAACTTACTATGTAGACCAAGCTGGTCTCTAACTCAGAGATCTGCAGCCTCTGCCTCCTGAGTGCTGAGATTAAAGGCCTGTGTCACTATGCCTGGCAAAAAATGTGCTTTAAAAAAAAAACAAAAAACAAATAAACAGCTGGGCGGTGGTGGCTCACGCCTTTAGTCCCAGCACTCGCGAAGCAGAGCCAGGCGGCTCTTTGTGAGTTTGACTCCAGCCTCGTCTATAGAGCGAGATCCAGGACAGACAGGCACCAAAACTAGACAGAGAAACCCTGTCTCAAAAAAACAAAGCAAGACAAAAACCAAAAAACTGTTTTTATTTTATTATGGGCGTGCATAAGAGAGTGTTTTGCCTTCATGTATGTTTGTGAATCACATGGGTGCAGTGCCCATGGGGGCCAGAAGAGGGCATCAAATTCCCCTGGGTCTAGAGTTACAGATGGTAATGAGTCACCATATGGGTGCAGGGAATCAGGGTCCTTTAGAAGGGCAGCCAGGGCTCTTAACCACTGAGACACCTAGATGTCATTATAACCACTGAGACATCTCTCCAGCTCCTAGATGTCATTAATTTGTATTTAATGTTATTTATGTGTTTCAGGATCCCCTTTGGGATACTAGGTGGTATGTAGACGTGGAAACTCTTGGCTGTGACAGGGTTCTCAGACTGCCCTTGCTTTTGATGACTGATCATTCTCAGGAGCCTGGGTTAAGTGTTTGGTTGTACATCTCGCTGTTAGAATTGGTATGGTGTTTTTCTTCTGGTAAGCCTGAGTTTGTGGGTTGTTGACAGAAGGGTCTCAGAGGTAAAGACATTAACATGACCGACCATTGTCTTTGAGATTTTGATCAGTTGACTGAGTAGTGACTGTCTAGTTTCTCCAAATATATATTTTATAAATATTTTAACATAATTTCTTTATTTATCCTTGGGACATTCACATCATGCGCCCCAATTCTGCTCATGTCCCAGTCCCCCCACATCTGTCCCCTCATCCTTGCAGCATCCCCTGCAAAAGAAAATTAAAAAAAAAAAAAGCTAAACCCAAACCAAACCAATCAAGAACCCCTCATTCCTCTGTCTTTCCCACCTCTTCAACAACTCTTCATTCCTCAGTGTCATTGGGAGCCTCAGTGTGTCACACAGCTTTACTGGCAACTGTTCATTGCAGTGAGTCATTGGTCTGGTTCAAGGCCTCTATTTTCTGGTGCATCATCATCACTGGACCCTCACTGAAACTCTCTCAGATATTCTACGGCAGCCCAGAGTCCAGTACCTTCATGAGCTTCAGCAGGTCGTAGAGCAGATGTGTGGGTGGGCCAACCCAAGGTCCTGGATGTGGGCCTGGGTAGTAGCTGAGCTGGTCAGTCTGGGCCACTGGGGCTGCCCTCCTGAGGCAAGAGGTGGAGCCACCTCTCTTAGGCCATGCCATATGGGCCAGATCTCCCATGCCTGTGGTGAGGGGCGGGGCCATCTCTCGTGTGTGTGTGTAGGACATCTCTCTTGCTGCAGTGTCCAGCAAGGGGCAGAGCCAGCTTTCCCAGAGCTAGCAAAGGGTGGGCCCAGCTCAGCATGGCCCTCTGATTTCATCACACATGGTTCCTATGCCCCTCTGTGGTAACACAGGCCACAGACACCAACACAGACCCCAGCTGCAGCAGGACCAGGGACCCAGACTTGGCCCTCAGCAGCTTGGGTAGTACAACACCATGGCTCCCGGTGGCACCATAGTCCACTTGGGTCAGCATGGCTCTGGCAGTGGCAAGGCCCTCGGGCACCAACAAGGCCACAGGGTGTGGCCCAGACCCTGGGCTTCTATGTGGCCTTTGGTAGGCACATGGGCCTCCAATTTCAACACAGACCCTGGATTTTATCCACTTTTAAGTCATTTTTTTTTCTCTCTTTCCATTCTGTACCCTTTGAAAGAAACCACTGTGCACAGCCCACACCCAGGAAGTAGGGAGTAGCTACATAAATATTTGGACATTTATCTATGAAAGATTGCTTTTGCTTTTAATGTTTTTAAAAATTAAATTCTGGGCCAGGTGGTGGTGGTGCACGCCTTTTGTCCCAGCACTCTGGAGGCAGAGCCAGGTGGATCTCTGAGTTTGAGGCCAGCCTGGTCTACAGAGCGAGATCCAGGACAGGCACCAGAGTTACACAGAGAAACCCTGTCTCGAAAAACCAAAAGAAAAAAAAAAATTAAATTCTAAGAGGGCTGGGGATGCAGCTCAGTTGGTACAGGACTTGCCTACCACACATCAGGACCCAGTTTGATCCTTGGCGTTTTGTCAATGGAGCATGGTGATGCATGCCTGCAAACCCAGCTCTTGGGGGGTAGGTGCAGCTAGGAGGATCCGAGGTTCAAGGTCATCCTGGATTCATAGGGAGTTTGAGGCCAGCCTGGGCTACATGAGAAAGTATCTCCAAAATAAAATAAAACAAAACCCCACAATAAAGAAAAATGCACATATCGTACCTCGCTCAATGACATTTTTGTTTTGCTTAACTTTGAGACAGTCTTACTATATAGTACAGTGTCCATGCACACCTCCAGGAACTTGAACATGACTAGAGCAGAAAGAGAATGAAGAAAAAACAGAAAGATAGACGGTGTGTGTGTGTGTGTGTGTGTGTCTGTGTGTGTGTGTGTCTGTGTGTGTGTGTGTCTGGTCTGTGTGTGTGTGTGTGTGTGTGTGTGTGTGTGTGTGTGTGTGTGTGTGTGTAGGGGAATTATTGGTCTTTTGCTTGTTTTGATTTTTGTTTCTGTAGAGGGTTTTGTTACTGTTTCTCTTTTTGTTTCATGGTTTTTGGTTTTTTGGTTTGTTTTGTTTTGAAAGAGAGAGAAAGAACACTAAGTTGGGTGGGTAGGGAGTTGGGGAGGATCTGGGATGAGTCATAGTAGAAAAATATTATCAAAATACATTGTTTGAAAAA